GTTAGAGACTTTTTTCCTTTTTTAATATGAGTTAGGAAATAAAAATGCCTCTCTAAATTATAAATATTAGTTCCTATATAACTCAAAATCCTTACTACCTGTCAGTTCCTGGTAAGTCACTGCAAATAGAAAGAACACAAGTATAGCTCCTACTTTTATATTCTCTGTTATTCTGACCAGAAGTCAAATGTGTTAGACCCTTCCTCTAAGTTCACTTACACTGAGGCAAACAGACATGCTTCAGTGTCTTCTTGTTGCTTTAGGAGCATGGCTGTGAAAATCAATACTGGCTTTACTATAGATTTGTGCTATCCTGCAGTTCTTACCTCAGGATCTTTATAAAGTATAAAATATAAAGTGCTGGTCTGCAGTGCCTTTTTGTTTGTGTGTTTTTTCTACCTGCTCATTTCTCTGATAAGCACTGACCACCCACTGTATCCTTAACCCTTGTCCTGAGATTTTCCCTTTTTACTTCTAAGAGGCTTCAGCAACAAGTGCTGGTAAAGGTATGGAGAAAAAGCAGTCATATTAAACTTTTGGTGGTAATGTGGTCTAGTCCAGACCCTATTGAAAGCTGTGCCGAGGTTCCTCAAAAGACTGAAAATGGGTCTGCCATACAATTCAGCAATCCCACTCCTACATATCTACCCAAAGAACACGAAAACACTAAGTAGAAAGGAAGCTTGCACTCATGTTTATTGCAGCACTGTTTACAATAGTTAAGATATGGAAACAAACTAAGTGCCCAAAAAGATGAATAGATCAAGAAGATGTGGTATATATACACAATGGAATACTACTCAGCCATCAAAAAGATGAAAAAGATCATGCCATCTGTGGCAACATGGATGGAGCTGGAAGGGATTATGCTAAGCAAAATAAGCCAGAAGAAGGATTAATACTGGACGGTGTCACTTATTTGTGGAAAATGGAGAAATTGAACAAAGGGTCAGACAAAGAAATTTTAAAACAAACGATTGAAAACTGACCATAGTTCTTCAGTATCAAAGAGGGAAGGGGGAGGAAGGAATGGGGGGTGGGGGAGGAAAGAGCACAATGCATTATGATGGAGGACATGGGTGTGTTGGTGGTGGGAGAGCTATGGTGACCACACCCGAGGGGAGAAATCCTATGTTGTCAAAATTTTAACATGGGTAAAACAAGGGTACCTCTAATTAAAAACAAACCAAACTTATTTAAATGTGCACAAAATAAGAGTACGTTTTCAACTGAAAGTGTGAACTATTAAAGGGAGGAAAGGCTTCTATGTATTTCAATAAAGAGGCAGACTGTGGCATATAAACTAAAAGGTATTCCCTTCCTCTTTGGCTTTGTGTCCTGGGTTTTGAGGTTGTTGGAGATGGGGGAAGATTAGGTTGCTGGGAGAACATCTATGTAACTCTAGCTTGGTCTTCAGAAGGACTCAAAATATTCCAGGTTAGTTCCCAAGACAACTGTCTATTGAATGTAGAAACAATAGTACAGCAAATTAGAAAATTCATCTCTATTTTCTTTTTAAGTGCAATGTAATGATATTCTGGTGCCTTGAAACTGGGTTCTCCTTAGAATCTTGAGTGCCTGAAATACATATGAACTCCCTGTTGAAATAGCACAGGAGGGTCTAAGTCTGAAGAGTGTCCCAGAAAGCTCTTTAGTTTCTATCTTCCTCGCAAATGATTTTGTATAAAGATCTTTAACACTGTGAAGTTCCCTTTCCAAAATTAGCACTTTTATTTTTCTTTCTCATCTCTTTCTGTTTTTTTCCTATGATGAGATTCAGTATGGAGGACAGCAAAATGCCCAGACTCTTTGTTTTAGGGCTTAAGGAGAGAAAAATAATTGAAATTACAATTAAATAAAATTAACCTGAGCCCTTAAAACTCTAAGTGTCACCATGGAAACCAGAGCATGAAATGTCTCCATGGAGATTTGAATTAATTTTTTGCTTTAAACTATCATCACTCATTACCAGATGACAACTTTGCCAAGGAAGAGATGAGTAAAAACAAATAAACAAATAAGTAAAAATATAAGAACTAGACTTACACCGGAGAATTTGTTCAGGGAAAGTCTAACTGTTCTGGTTCATAGAATTCCATTATTCCAGTGAATGGCAAGATATCCCAAAGAATATTTTGACTTGATTCAGAATTTTTTTAATATTTATTATTTTTGTATAGGTGTGGAGGTAAGAGGATTCACCATAGACAGAGTGGGAAGCAGAACAGATGGATCTACTGAAATGCACTATTGAGGGGAGCAGGGGGTGAGACAGGCAAGGTCTCCTGCACCATGTGTGGGTTAGCTCCCTGGCATGACTGACCTCAGGCCATAGAGGTGATAGCACTGAGACTTAACTCCTAGGCCACCAGGGAGGCCCTTGATTCAGAATTTCTAGTGGAACCATCTTATGGTACCATAAATACTTTAGGATTGAATAGAGAAAGATAATGTCTAGAAGAGTCTCTCACTCAGAAACATCAAGGTGAGATGAAGCTGATATAGTTCTCAATCTCCCACTCCAGCTTCAGAGAAAAGATGATTCCTTGGTAATGGACCAGAGATACTTCTAACAACTATTTTGAGTAATCAGACTGGTATTATATGCTACATAAAGAGAAAGACAGGTATCACCCAAATGTTTAAACTACTGGGTTGTTGGAAAAGTCATGATATATTTTTTTCAGAAAGAGCTGTGAGTATTGATTTGGGCAAGAAATAAATTCTAGGATGTAGGTGAATTCTCAAATTCATAATCCATGAACAATGAGGATCAATTGTATTTGCCAAATTACACATATTCCCTGTAGTGCTATTTCCTACTTCATTGTACTTGCCTTTTCTCTTTTGTATACCTATGGAGCTCCTATTCTTCCCTTGAAACACACACACATACACATACACACACAAACACACACCTCCTTCTCCTGCCTCCACTTTATACAAATCAGAGTATACTGAATTTTTTGACATTCTCTTTTATTGATCTACAGAATTCCTTGAAATCAATGACAGTGTGTGTGCATGTGTGTGTGTATATATCTTCTTTTCTGTGCATGTTATGTGCCAGGTTATGCTAAAAAAAACTGTTTCACATACAATACCTTGTTTAATCTTACAGCAATCCTATTTAGCAGTTGTAAAACATATCTAGAGCAGTCATCATTTAACACATCACATAGCTACAGAGTTGATACCCCAAACCAACAGCCCAAACTTTTAAACTCTGTTATCCTAAATAAATAACATTAGCTACCATATATTGTTGACTGCTGACTATGTGCCAGGCTAAATGCTTTATTCAAATTATCATCTCTGTGTCTCCAACATGGAGCAAAGTGCACGGCACGTGCACATGGATTGCATTTAATTCTTCCTCTTCCCAAACCTTCTTTTTAAAACCAATAGCATGAAAACTCTCTCCAGAATGGCTTTCAGTTTTATACCACCCTTTTCCTCTACCAAGTTCCTCATCTCCTCATTTATGCTCTTCTGTGGTTTTGCCATTGATGTCTACAATATCCACATGGCAACTTCCAAAGCAATAGTGCCAAAGAAAGTAGAATCAATGTCTGCTTGAAAATGGTCTCACTCTTCAATTTCTAGTATATTCATATTATTTACATTTACATTATGACCTAAATACTTATGGAGTAAATATTTTCGCTTAAGGGTATGAGTAAACACTGTATGGGATTTAAAGAGAGTTTTCTGTTTCCCAATGTACTTTTAGGTGCTAAATCTATATAACCTCACACTGAGTTCAAACTATTCTGAGTCAATTTTAGAAAGGAAAAGTAGAAGTAAGGAGTGGACTTCTAGAAAAGTGTGTAGACGATAGAAATTTTGTAAGACAGAAGCTTCAGGGCTCACATATATTACACGAATAAATGACATCAAATAGTAGGCTTAGTCTTAGGGTAAGAGTCAAAATCATCCGTTTTCAAAGACAAAAGTATAAATGGGACCAGAATAGAGACTTCATTTCTCTCCTTCTTCCCCAGAATCATCCAAATACTCTAAAAATAATTGTCAACAGTATAGCGAAGAAAACTGACCAAGAGGAAAACATTTTAAATGCCCTACAAGTCTCCATTTTTCTCCCAGTTTTATGTCATAGTTTTGCTATTGGTGACTGCATTATTTAACAAAACAGAATCTCTATGGGAATTCAAAGCCCAGGGTCTAAGGGAGAGGAGATAAATCAAATGCCCCTTGGGGTCAGGCAAGAACTTACATGAGTGAAATTACCGAAAGAGAACTCTCATCTTAAGGTCTCATCATTTAGCTCAAGTACATTCAGTTGCCCGAAGGAATAAAAACTTCTGTTGACAGGCATTTCAACTTTTCAAGAGAAGATGCAATCCTGGATTTTTATCTGAAATCTCCTGGTTTGCCCACTGAGACAATAGTTTGCTATCTCTGGCCAGAAAAGTCCCTAGTAGCATAGGATTTGTTTAGGAAACTTTTCCAAGTCACTCAGTGTGCCCCACTGCCCCACCCTCCACAAGAAATGGAAGCCCCAGTGACCATTCTCTGAACAAACATCTTGCTGTTCCCCTTCCTTTTAGGACTAAATACTTATCTCAGAGATGTGATCTTTAGGCCTCTGCAAATACCCTCCACTCTGTCCTCCTCCGTATGGATGGATCTATGATCTCGGTGGCCAGGTTACTGGCTGCAGCAGGTCTTAGTGTCAGCTTGAGAGATGCTGTTGGAGGGTTCTCCTATCTCCTTACTGTTTCAACTTTTTCACTCCCACCCTCTCTATCTCTTTGAAATGTTTCCTTTTCATTTTTCTCTCTCGTCTCCTATCCCACTTCTCTCATCTTTTTCTTACTTCTTTTCCCCCTTCTTGCTCTGCTTTCCCTTTTTCTCATTCTCTTCTGCTTATTCTCTGCTCGCTACCTTTTCCCTCATATTACTCCCCTTTCCTCTACTTCCCTATCTCTTTCCTTCTCCCTCTCCCAGCTCCCAGGAACTGCGGAGAGCTCTCTCACCAGGAAGACACCAACACAGGCTTCGAGTATTTCTTGTGATGGGAACGAAGGGTCAGGGAGCCCTTACGCTCCAGTAAGTCGGTAGGTCCAAGCTCAAGCCAGTATTGATTACTGCTGCACCATTCTTGGCAGCTGTCATAATTCTCCATGGCGGTTTTCCAGGTAAAGACCTCAGAGGATTTCCCTCTGCACTTGTGCTGCTCCAGCTGCCAACACTAACCAAGATTCTGCGTCTCTCATCTCCTTAGCAACCCAGGGCGGGGTTAATGGAGAGGGCGGGCCGATAGAGGGTGTAACCCTCAAACCTAATGGGCGTGGTTTCCTAGACAGTGTTAATTATGAATTCGAAAGAAAATACACTTCCCAGAATGCAATGAGGAGATGACAGAACTAAGCAGGTGCCAGGAGGGAGCGATGCATCCTGGGATCTGTAGTTTTTTCCCTTCTAATGCTCAAAGTGATTGGGAAGAATTAAACGGAAACTTGGTTCACCTAAGGCCTAAGGAGAACGGGGGCCTGTTCTAGGAGGCTTCCTTGAGGACCTAGAGGACCTTGCTATCCATCATCTGTTGTCATCATTCCTTCTGCGTACAAGTTATTTAAGTTTGACTAAAAGGGTACAAAATAACATTCCTCAAATCCTAAAATAGTCACTTCTATACAGCTTTCCTACCTGAGATAGGGATAGAGGGGAATCATTCATTAAATCCTCGAAACGTCTGAAGATAAAAAGAAAGCCCTGGCTGCTTCAAGTTTCATGGGCTCGCTTAGATTTACTAGGCATGAGTTTCTTCCTCTGAAAAACTATGGGAAAATGGACTATGAAGAGGGGGAAGAATATGAGGTGCCTTCAGTCTGTGGCACTGAAGATCCAAACTCTAGGTACAGTTCAGGGCTCCGAGTCTTTCAGTTCTCCAGGAGTTGCAAAGTTCTCTTTATTGTAACATTTAATGTTTTGTGACTACACAAATTGCTCACATTTGTTATGAGTTACATGCAAGGAGTTTCTTTAAAAGATTATGGCATCACCATCAAGAAATTAGAGAGCTGTCTTATAGAAGGAAGGTGCTTGTTTCATTTTTAAAGTTTTGAGAAAATAATACTCAACACATTAGGATTATCTCCAATCTTAGCTGAGCACTTACAGGCAGTAATGGACTCAATCAAGGACATCCCTCTCACCGAGCATAGTGCTTAGCACTTGGTATCACTCAGTGTTGAATGAACAAATAAATGAATATTATATTTGATTATCTTAGATTTACCTGGGCTTCCATAAACTCCAAAAATATCTTTTTTTTTTTTAAAAATAGAGGCATGTTTTATTTATTTATTTATTTGTTTGTTTGCTTGTTCGTTTATACATGCACTGGGTACAGTCAGAAGCGCGGGAGGGTGAGAGAATTCACCAGAGCCAGAGCGGGGAGCAGAGCAGGCAGAAGGACCGAAGTACACTGCTGAGGGGAGCAGCGGGCGGCAGGAGAGGTCTGCGCGCCATGTGGGACCCTCCTCTGGTGGCCGGGGAGCAGCCGGGGATCGAACTGGCGCTGCAGAGGCCGCGGGCAGCTTCGCAACCCAGCGCTCAACCGCTGCGCCACCGGGGAGGCCCTCCAAAAATATCTTACTTTGAAAAGTTCACAAAATTCAAATTTAAAAACAGACAAGTTAAGACATATCATTAGATTCTCTGGTTTGCAAACGGTTATAGCACTCCTATAAATAGTGAGACACTCTTGGTGCTTAGTTTTCACAAATCTGATTATCACAACTACTAAGTGCTTTTCTGTGGCCTGTGGTACCCGGTATGGGTGCCTGTGGTATGGTTAAGGCTCTATTTTACTGACAGCCACAGTTAAGCCATATTATTTAAAACCAAATAGTTTACTGTCACCAGCTAAGGGCTAGAAGAGTATTGACTGCTTTTTGAGAACTTTTTGTCTTGAAATGAAAAGAAATTAACTTTAAAAAGATATCTAAGATCCATGTTAAATTCATCTATCCAAAGAAAGCATAGCTGCTGTCAATGTGTCAAAAATATTACTACCTTTACTATTATTTCTTCTTAGTGTTTATTTTACTTGTGCTTCAAGCAGTGACAAAATATATACAGGCAATCAAGATGTAAGCTCCCTGCAGTCTATTTGACTCAGAGACAGAAGTTGCCCAAAGCTAAGTCCATTCTGTCATGCACAGAATGGAAAAGTTTAAAAACTTTTCAGTACATCATGTAGTAGTGAGCTAAGAAAATAAACATAGCTTGTTATTTTAGAATCCCTTAAGCCTCACTAATTGCCTATTTGAGTCTATTATGTTATATCAACTTTATAAGCTTTCTAATCTTCAGTGTCTACAAAATAATTTTCAACATCCTCGCATTGGGATGTAGATTTGCTGATCTACCATCCAGTTTTTTTGTATTCTGTTCTCTTTACACACGCAGGTACACTCTGTGGAATTTTTGGTTTGTTGATTCTTTATTAATAAAACAAGACTAAGATGGTTTTTGTTGAAAAGTTTCATGAGCATTACTAAGATAAGAAATATATTGAAAGGAAGTGAATAGTGCCTAATAAATGCTCAGCCCCCAATTAAATTTCAATGTCTACTGTCATTACAGCCTAACTTTGCCCTTATTATCTGGGAAAAGTACCCTAAAATATGGTTATTTTTTTATATGCAGTTTCACAAGTATATTCACTGTTTTCAAGCTTTGTCTAGTTCCAAGGTCTTTTTCATAACTACCTTTTTTTTAAAATGATATTTTAATATGAAATGTAATGGTCTGAGTCTGAAAACAATGTTAGTAAGATATTTGGATATTACCACATTAATGATGTTTTTGTCATACTCTTTTCTCTTCAAGGCCACTAATAAGCTTTATGCTTTATAAATGTGAGATCACTGATCCTTAACACACTTGAGTTATTCCCACTTTCCTCAAACTTTATCAAGCCAATGAAGTGTAGGGTTTAAAGCAATGTCCTCTATTTATATTAATCTCTTTTCATCATAATACCCTTGAGGTGAGAAAATTACAGCCAATGTGGCTGAAATAGGATTTTTCAGATAAATGCAGGCCAAACAACTAGGAGTGGGAATCCTGCCATCGGAACCGACTCTTATATATGTCCTTATTAACATTATGTGATCCTTACAGAATATCTGAGCAAAATAGTAAACCTAAAACAGATATAAACTAGCTAGATGTAAATAGTCACAGAGACAAACTTCTTCACCACCTCCTTTTTCTACCTGTCTAAGAATCCTCTGCTCAATTCCTGGAAAAGTCCCTGTGCAGAAACTTCCAAAGTACCATCAGTATGTTCTCCCCTCAGCAATTAAAATTTTTTTCTCTCTATCAAACATCATTCAACTAGGCTGAAAGAAAAAAACATTAAATTGTGTTTAAAAATTAACTTATATTTTCTCTATGCTGAATCTAGTTTAAGTCAACGTAAATTGTGTAACATTCAAAAGTTTAAAACTAAGTGTTTTTGTCCTAATTAAAGACTGCATAGCATTGTTTTAGTTACACAGGAATGGAAACCTCCTATTACCACCATAGTAAATTTAGGGGTTCACTTTTAAATATTTTATATTGAAAAGTTAGAGTCTACCAGTTATGTCAAAATGAACAAATGGTGTTTGGTTATCCTCTTCCAGGCCCTACTTTTCTTTTTGTGCTTCTCTCCACTCCTTTCTCTCATTGTTCCCCTCTTTCCCTGTTTCCTTTTTTCTCCTTTATCAGTATTATCTGATTCTTAAAGAAATGATATGGAATAATTTTGGAGACAAAATCTACTGCTGAGCACACAAAAAGAATCTGGTACAATTCAAAATTATATGACAAATATGAAAGAAAATAGTAAGACCTAGAAAGAAGGACCAAATGTGACATGAATAAACTCATGTTTAATGACCAAGGAAATCTGAGTCAATTCTAACGAAGCTTCAATCTTCTTTCTTCTCCTTTAACTATACATAATTACCAACTTTTTAAAAGAATGATTTTAACCTTGAGTATGATTCTTCTGTGCTTCTAATTTGAAGTATAAAACAAGGCATTAACTTTCTTTCAAATCACTAGTATTGACTAGCATTGATTAAGTGCTGACATGCCCCTCTACTATCAGCATGAGGATTAATTTATTAAATATTCAATGTATAGTATTCTATAATTTAGCATTTCCTTTATTTTTATATATAATCCAGTCAGTAAGTGAAATTCTTTGGCAGAATTGTCCATAACAATTATGATAAAATTTTAATATTCTGGATTAGTAATGACATGCTCAAACGTAAGTATGGATTAGGGATTTCTTTAATATCCTACAAATTGGAAATCTTTAATTATTCAAAGAATGAGTATCCATTTTCACAAATGATCTAAGACCTTGCATTCTTCCTTTTCTTCTCTGTGTTGCTTTCTTTTTTTTTTTTTATGCTTTCAATATTTATTAACAGCAAGAGTGAGATAATTTTAGACACCAGACTATAGTTCTTGGGGACAGAGCTTGTGCTTAAAATTAAGTTCAGTGTTGTTGTGGCTTTTGTTCTTTGTTCCTCACAGTCTTTAATCTGGATAAAGAAACAGCATTTCACAGGGAAGAAGCTCAGAGGAAAGAAATTGCCTTTGGCTTCCTTTCTGGTCGTCCCGTATCCCCCACAAGACCCACCTTCAGCTGCATGGTGAGCAGGCTGCTAAGGAACTGACTAAAAGACATCTTCCAAAAGGGTAAGGTAATTGCAGGAGATTTCTGGCTGTGGAATGTGTCAAATACACAGCTAAGGATGATTGGTATCATCAGTCTGGGTGAGGAAAGGGTATATAGTTCAGAGAAGAAGATGGAAAATTTTTGGAAGCTTAAAGGACTGACTGAGCTTTGTATGATTTTGCTTCCTGTGTTCCCTTGGCATATGTCAGACTTCTGATGCTGTTTCCTCTGCTAAACAAATCTTTTTCTATAGCATTAAGTTTAGGAATTTTAAAGTAGGGAGGCTATCTCAGAAGAGTAATTGTTTGGAGCATAATTCTTTGAAATTGAATTATGCCCAGGTAAACTCTCCAATGTTCATTCTTGTCCCATGGAAAACACTCAGCACTTTGAAACACTGGAGCACAGGCTGCTTCTCTTTAGACTCTGCCCCAGGATGTCTCTGGCCTTTAGACATTTTTAGAGTAGAACTGGGCACCACATACCAGGTGCTCCAAATCTCTCTGACTTGACTTAAATGGGAACAGGAGAAGAAATGAGAAAACTATAACATTATGCCAATTCTCGTCAAAGAAATCCTCATTACCACTCTCCCTCTCCAGC